TAGCACATATATCACTAAAAACAAGAGCCACCTAAAATAGCAGAGCCTCCTACTCCGGGATCAGGACTGTCAACACGGGCTGGCAGCAGCTCCTTTGGACGGGTATTTTACAGAAGAAGGGGGGGAAGGCAGATGTCAGAAGGGAAACTGAGGCAAAGGGAAGGGAAAGAAAGCTAAGGGCTTATCCATATCTCGTCTTAATGCAGATTGTGAACCCCATGGTGCTTCCTTCAATCCCACCTTTGGATTTTCGAAGCATAGGGAATTTCCAGATTTAGGGAGGGGCTAAGTGTGGAAGGGGACGCGTGTGGCACTGTGGGTTAAACCACAGAGCATAGGACTTGCTGATCAGAAGGTCGGCGGTTCGAATCCCCCGCGACGGGGTGAGCTCCCGTTGCTCGGTCCCTGCTGCTGCCAACCTAGCAGTTCGAAAGCATGTCAAGTGAAAGTAGATAAATAGGTACCGCTCTGACGGGAAGGTAAACGGCATTTCTGTGCGCTGCTCTGGTTCGCCAGAAGCAGCTTAGTCATGCTGGCCACATGTTGTACGCCGGCTCCCTCGGCCAATAAAGCGAGATGAGCGCCACAACCCCAGAGTCGGCCACGACTGGACCTAATGGTCAGGGGTCCCTTTACCTTTAACTAAATTCTTCTTTGGCGATCACTCATAGCCGAGTAAGATTGTCTTCCATGAACACAGTCTTAACCGTGAGTCCGTAAGTGACTGTGGAGGCCAATTCTGGATCCATACGTCCTTCCACAGTGAGGATTTGCCAAGCGTGCCTTCCTCTTAGCTTATTTCTCCCTTTCGTCCTGAGTTTGAGCGTCTTCATAGTCCATGACACCTTTGGTAAAGGCTGCTCTCTAATTGGAGCGTTCGCAGGTCAGTGTTGGAGGGCACAAGGAGAAGGGGACGACAGAGGACGAGATGGTTGGACACTACCAACATGAGTTTGACCAAATTGTGGGAGGCAGTGGAAGACAGGAGTGCCTGGCGTGCTCTGGTCCATGGGGTCACAAAGAGCCGGACATGACTAAACAACTAAACAACAACAACAAAGTACTACATTTTTAAAGATTTGCCTTGAGAGAGTCTTCAAACCTCTTTTGTTGACCACCAGCATGACGCTTTCCATTTTTAAGTTCAGAATAGAGTAGGTGCTTTGGAAGATGATAATCAGGCATCCGTACAACATGGCCAGTCCAACGAAGTTGATGTTGAAGAATCCTTGCTTTGACACTGGTGATCTTTGCTTCTTCCAGGACACTGGCATTAGTTTGCCTGTCTTCCCAAGTGACGTGTAAAAAATTTCAGAGACACTGTTGATGGAATCTGTCGAGGAGTTGGAGATGGCGTTTATAAGTGGTCCATGTTTCACAAGCATACAGTAAGGTTGGTAGTACAATAGCTTTGTAAACAAGCATTTTGGTTTCCCTGCAAATGTACCCATCCTCAAACACTCTGCACTTCAGTTTGCTTTCCTAACCAAACCAAGCCACAGCGCAGAGTCTTAAACATGAGGACAGTACATTGGTCTAACTCCATAGCGTAAGATGGCCAAGCTAATATGATCAAAGTGCTTTAAGTGAAGTGCTATAGAATAAAAAGGGGGGGGGGAGTAAGTAGAACGGAGATTAGGACAGCGTATTTTACCTTGACTGCAACAGAGAATGAATTAAGAAGCTTACGCCTCTTACATCGCTCGTTCTGACCGCTTTGGGGAGCTTCCTTGAATGACTGCTATTCTTGCAGTTAGATGGAGCAGCTTAGCTGCTTAATTCATTTGTGCAAAGGGTGGGGGAGGGAGGGATAGGGAGAATTAGATTGCAATACTCCTTGCAATAAAAGATAAGATATATGCAAGTCAAGAAGCAGATTTGTTAATCCACACTGACATCTGGCGGTGGGTCTGGAAAGAGCTGGAGGGGGTGGGGGGAATCTCAGGAGTCGATGAGATCACCCGATCTCAAGCTTTCCTCACCCCACTCAATATTTTGCAAATGAAAACAGGGAGGCTGTTGCAATGGATGCAGCAGGGAGGGACGTTAAGTTAGGAGCAGAGCAAATGCAAGATTAAAGGAACTCTCAAAGCCTAGTCCAGATCATTCTGTGGGAGTGGACCCTTCTGGACTGCATTAGGGGGATGCAGGAGGCGCTATGGTCTAAACCACTGAGCCTCTTGGGTTTGTCGATCAGAAGGTCGGCGGTTCAAATCCCCGCGACGGAGTGAGCTCCTGCTGTTCTGTCCCAGCTCCTGCCAACCTAGCAGTTTGAAAGCATGCCAGGGCAAGTAGATAAATAGGTACCATTGCGGCGGGAAGGTAAACAGCATTTCTGTGCGTTCTGGTTTCCATCACAGTGTTCCATCTGCGGACAAACACCGGCTCCCTTGGCCTGAAAGCGAGAGGAGCGCCGCAACCCCATAGCCGCCTTTGACTGGACTTAACTGTCCAGGGGGTCCTTTACCTTTCTGCATTAGGCAGTTTCCTCTGTCTAGATGAGCATCCACAACTCAATTGTTTTGCGTTTTGTGCTTGGGCCCAGGTGACCTGAGAGATCCCATCTCATTCAACGAATCTGGAAGAGGATAAAGCTACTGATTGCTGCCAGCCATTATGTCCATGAAAACAGAATACTTACGAAGACCAGTAGCTGGGAGTCACAGCAGGGAGGTGGCTGCCTTGCTCAGCTCCTGCTTGGATGCTTCCCACAGGGAAAACAGGATACTAGGTGGGCTCTTGCTAGGCTCTTATTGGTTGCAACTTACTGCCCTCCCCACCATCGCTGACCAAAGTCTTCCACCAAGGATCCCTGCCCATCCCAATGGTTTGCCCTTCTCTGCTTCCTCTTGCTTCATCAACTTGTTCTAGTAACAAAGGGGGCTTTTGGAATGACTATTCACAGTATGCTATTCCCAACGCACCTCTGTCGCCTTCCCGAACCTGGCACTCTCTCCATGATGTTTAGGACTGTCAATCCCACCAGCACCAGGAGTCAGGGCTGAAGTCAGACACAGGGCAGCAACGAAGAAGCAGAGCCGGTTGTCGGTGAAGCTACCGAGTTTTTCGCCCCATAGGACGCACTTTTTCCCCTCCAAAAATGAAGGGGAAATGTGTGTGTGTCCTATGGGGCGAATGCAGGCTTTCGCCGAAGCATGGAGAGCGAGAGGGGTCGGTGCGCACCGACCCTCTCGCTCTCCATGCTTCGCGCAGATCTCCATACGCCGTGGGAGCCCAGCGCAGGGCTCCCACGGCTTGCGGAGAGTTGCCTGTTCTGGGGGCTGGGGTCGGGGGAAGCTCGGGCTTCCCCCGCCCCAGCCCCGCGCCTGGGGGGGAAATGAATTTTTTCCCCTTATTTCCCCCCCAAAAAACTAGGTGCGCCTTATGGGACGGTGCATCCTATAGGGCGAAAAATACGGTAACTGTTTATTCAAGGAAACAGGCATACGACTCAACAACGCTTCCCAGTAGGTCATGCCCGTATGGGGCAGTTGCCAGGACTGAAGGTCCCTGCCTTCCACCCTTTCTAAGGCTCCTCCTCTCCCGGATGTTTCCCAAGCAGCCTCAAACTGCGTATGAGCACCTCTGGTCTCTGCTCTTCTCATTACTCTGCTCGTTCTTGGAGACCAAGGGGTGTGTGTGTGGAGTTTGTCACAGCAAGAGACTTCCTGGATTCTTCAGCAGCCTCTGCTTCAGCCTCCAAGTCTGAACTGCTCCCTGTCATCGGCTCCTCCTGCTCACTAAACCCTGCTGCCCCTTCGGCGTCCAGCACCTCCACTCTCCCATCAGTGCCCCATCACCAACCCCCTGGGCTCTGAGAGCCTGCTTCCTCTGGGGCTTCCATTGGGGGTTGGAGGAAATGTGGAGTGATGGGAACGTACAGTCATATGTGGTGGGATTGTCCGTTAGTTAATGAATTTTGGAAACAGATTGGTATAGAAATATCGGGAATCGTGGGTAGGAAGGTGGGAATAGCTAAATTAATGGGTCTTATTAGTCTGCATAGCACCGAGTTAAAAACAAAAGAGGAATGTAAATGGGTAAAATTGATGGTAACTGCAGCCAGACAGGTTATAGCGAGTAATTGGAAAAATGCAGAAGAGCTGGGGGTGAACCAATGGAGGGAAAAAACTGAATAATATTGTAATTTCAGAATATCTAACTGTGAAGATACACAGAATGAGTGTTTAAGGTCAGTGAGAAAGAGGAGGATTGGTTTGAGAAGATAATGAATTATTTGGGTAGGATTGAACAATTTGGGGCAATTAAAATGTTAAAAGTTAAATAAACGTTGTGGAGGGAGGAGTGTTAACGTATATAAAATTGTACATATGGTTGATTTGAAGATGTTATTATTGATTATGTATACCCAATGTATCAGTCGCCTGGGGGGTTTCACTGTGTTTTGGTTGTTGGTAAAAAAATAAAAAAGTGTAAGTGAATTGTATGTTGTATGTAATCCCAAGTAAACATGCATGGGTTTGTGGACTTGTCACCCTATGAATGGCAGTTGGCCCACAAAGTGTGAGTCTAGTAGGAGCCCCAGCTAGTGATGGGTGGTCTGCAGCTACCTCTGTCTCCCCACCCCACCCCGTGCCACCCCATCTCTCTCTGTGCCACCCCTCCACCTGTCTCAACCTCTCTGCCACTGAATCTCCACTTGAGGAAAGAGCCCCACAGGTTCTCCACCACACACTGCCCTCAGCAGTTCAAAAATAAACATCACTAGCTGCATCTCAAGTAGCAAGCTGTGCACAGCTGGCCAGCCCTAGCATCCATGCGCATGAATGGGCACAGGCGCACACACACATGCGCAGCATCAGAAGCGGGCAGCGGGGGGTTAGCGCCCCGCAAATGAGAAGCTCGTCCTTGCAGCGCTTTCACCCGTCAAAAATGGAACCAAACACATTGCAACACTCAACACACACACCCCCCAAAATCCTTCATTCGCACATTTCACACACCTCCACCTGAGACGACACAAGGCAATTTTTTTTTTTGCAAGAGTGGCCTTTTGTGCATTTTGACCGCCTGTTTCTTCCAAGCGGCTCCACCTTTCGCTTCTGCTTAACGTGGAGAATTGGAGCAGAAAGAGGTTTAGGATTTGGGGGTTTGCTTTTAATCTCGTACAGGTTAAGTCGTAACCAAGTTAAGAAGTAATCCGACAGCACAGACAATTCTACTTTTATATGTGTATTATTAAGCGCTTAGTGGAGACGGGGAGTCTTACCGAGAATTTTTAAAGCAGGTGAATCCCTACTGGCAGGTTTGCAAATGGGGTGGGGGTGGGAGGAGAGGACAAGCCAAGATAAGAGTGGAAAAGGCAACAGAGGGTATGGATTGCTAGCTGCCCAGGGGAGGTGCTGTCAAAACCCTTGCCCTTGTGGTGGCTTCACTAAGCTGGGGGTTGGTTCCCCTGACCAAGCTAGATCAGACTCAGGGGAAAGGAACTCAGAAAGCCATTTTGTACACTGGAACAAGGAGTGGGACAAATCCACAAAGCACTGCTCCTCAACCTCCTGTAGAATGGTGTCGGAAGCAGGGAGCCTCCCCTATTTCAGGGTGGCACACCGTGCAGTTTGGAACCCAAATAATCCAAATAACTTTTTGTTTAGAGCACTGCTTAAACCTCTTCCACATTCCCTGAGGGTTAAGATTTCTGTTGTTGCTGGCTCCATTTTTTTTTCCTCCCCAGAGAATTTTAGATTTTGCTTATTGCAAGCAGCTTCCAAAGTAGGGTACAGGTGGGGCAAGCAGGACACAGGCTTGCAAAATAAATCCAAACAGTGGTCTGGTCTAGCCCCCCCCCGTTCCACAAGCAGATATAAATGAAATTAGAACCATCTCACAGAAAAGGCTTCAGAGGCCTGGAGCTTTCACAGCTAGCACGTTACATCTGGTATCCGAAAGGGAAGAGGTTATGTTAAAACCAAGAATATTCTCACAAATTCGTTTTCCCCGTTCTCTCTTCCTCACACAGGCATCATACCACACCAACCAAGACTTGACATTTGGCAAGGCTAGCAACCACCAGTTTCCTCCAGTCCCTACAGGGGATGTAACTTCTCCTGATCTTAATGGTTGCAAAGTTTCTTCAGGGTCCTGCGTTCCTCAACACTTCTCCAATTCTCAAGCTTCCTTCTGCCTTTGAGCTCTCCTTCACTCTTCCCAGACTTCTCCCGAGTCCTCACTGCCGTGCCGTGCAAGGTTTTAATCCCAGCCGTACTGACTACTTTCCCTGCCCTCACAGAAGCTGGACTGGGAAGAAACTCCCAAAGCTCTCAGAACCTTCTGAGCTATGGCGGCAGCTCAGCCAATCAGAGTTAGAGACTTCACAAGTGCAATACAGATTTATTGTTCATGGAAAATGGAATGTTTCCTCCGAAACAACTGAGTGGTGTCCCGCTAAGAACACGTTGGGGGGGGATGGGAGACAACAACACACACTTGAGTTCACGTCATACGCAAGCTTTAGGATAGGGAGCTGTGGTTTCATTTCAGTTGGCAAAAGTTCAAGGCGATGACCAGGAATCAAAATTCAATGCAGCTGCCGCGTCGTGGCGAAGAAGCAAAAAGTCCTCAATAGCGCCGGGTGAATTGAGGGTCGCTGGGGCGGCTTGTTCTATCTGGGCTGGCAAAACTGCTTGGCAGACTGGCTCCCTGTGCCACGGGAGCTGGCGCGGCACCCTGAACGAACCCTCCACGCCTGAGGACAAGAAGCAGAAAGTTGACTTCCTGCTCGTGGGCTCAGAGTAACACCCTGCACCCTCCTTAATTAATTTTATTTCTTTATTAAATTTGTATACCGCCCAATACCCGCAGATCTCAGGTCGGTTCACAACATAAAATTCCAATATATATAAAAAACACAGACTACATAATAAAAATAAAAAGAACCCAAGAACCCCCCATTCCACTGCTTAAAGGGCAGTCTTTAAAATCATGGCCTCCAAGTTTCTTAATCCATACATTTTTCCTGACCAAGCATGCGTGCTAAGAGGCCACTGGGTCATTGTCACCCACCCCAAAGTCTTTTGCATGTGCACACAAACCTATCTATTACCTATCAAAGAGAACAGCTGTCACTTAAAATATTTCAACCGCAATCCCAAGCCCCCTCAAACTTTCTCGGCAGAAGTTTCTCGGGGTTTCTGCAGGGCGGGGAGCAGCAAAACCCTTTCAGGTAACTCTTACCCCGACATTCCTCCTCTGTTTATCACATGGCCAGGCCCTGACTGAGCAGCGGCACTCCTCTCACCAGCTAAGAAATGAAAAGAATGGGGCAGGGAGGCGGGAGGGAACAAGTCACTAAGGAATTATTGTATTGTTTAATTTTTTTAACAAATGCCTGCAGTCCCAACCACCCTTGCCCTTACCCTGAATTCAGTAGGACTTACTTCTGGGTAGGCATGGTTAGGATTGCGTTGCCATGTTACATTTATTTGTGCTTTTCTATACCCCCAAGGCTCCTGCCAACCTAGCAGTTCGAAAGCACAAAGTGCAAGTAGATAAATAGGTACCGCTCCGGCGGGAAGGTAAACAGCGTTTCCGTGCGCTGCTCTGGTTCGCCAGAAGCGGCTTAGTCCTGCTGGCCACATGACCTGGAAGCTGTAATCCGGCTCCCTCGGCCAGTAAAGCGAGATGAGCGCCGCAACCCCAGAGTCGGCTACGACTGGACCTAATGGTCAGGGGTCCCTTTACATTTTATACCCCCAAGGCAGCATTCGTGGTTCTCGTGCTTAGGTTACCCTATGAAACTGCGACAGGCCCAAGATCACTCAGTGTGCTTTATGGCTGAGGAAGGAGTCAAACCCTAATCTTCCCTAGTCTAACCAGGATGATGCTCTGGTATTCAAGCTCTCTGCACACTGGCTTTCCGGCTGACTTCTGCACACAGTTCAAGGTTTGGCTCATAAAGCCCACTTATGGCACCTGTGGTCAGTCTCCTCTCGTCTCCAAGAGAATGTAGGAAGCTGCCCTATGTCGATTAATTTGTCCGTTTAGCCTAGTGTGGCCGGACTCTGATGGCCAGCAGATGGCCAGGGTCTCTCTCAGGGAGTCTTTCATCACCAGCTGTCTGCCCTTTAAACCTGGGGCCTCTTCTGTGCATTTAGAAAGGGGGTCAGCCACCTGTCAGTTTGCATTTCTTAGTACAGAAAGTATTGAGCTGATGCGTAGAGATCTTTCCTATTCTGCTTAATTCAAGAGCGTTCTGAGGTGATGGACTATATGGAATTGGCAGAAATGACTGGCAGAATCCGAGACCAGGGGGAAGAGTCGGTGGAAGAAGATTGGAAGAAATTTAAAGACTATTTACAGAAATATTGCAAAATTAATGAATGATAGAAGGATGTTGGATAGTAATTAAGCGGTTTCTAGCTGTAATGCTTTAAGAGAACATGAAAAAAAGGGTTATAAATGGGTTGAATCTAATGGTAAGGATTTGCTGAACCAATAAATTGAAGTGGAATACAAAAAAGGGAGGTACGAGGAGGTCCGGGAAACAAGCTAAAGGAAAATAAGTAACTGAAAATATGTGTGTTTTTAACTGTTTTTATTTTGTATTTTTCTCTTTTCTTTTTCATTTTTACTGTAATATTTCAAAAAAACCTTAATAAATATCTTATTAAAAAAAAATTCAAGAGCGTTCTAGGTGGTTTCTTTCTATGTGAAAGAAACAGGCAGGAAGTTCTTGTCTGGGTTATTCCTTCTGGGAAGCAGAGTACAGCTGGTTGAAACTGGTTCTGTTATCGTTTCTGTCAAGGTCATGCTGACTATAATAGTCAGGGCCGGAGGAGCTTGGCTTTCTCATTTCCTCTATCTCTTTGTTCTGGTGTTCTGTTCTGTATATAGTGTTAAGGTTTATATAAGCTATTAGTTAAATTTAAGATAAGTCTGCTGCAACTGAGTTTCTTACGGACTGTGCCAGTCTTGAATGTATTGGATTTGTGACCACTATGCTCATTTGCCTTCAGTAGTAGTAGTAAAACTCTGCTGGATTGAAGTACAACTGCCTCTGGTCTATTTTTTGGGAACTCTGAAGTGTTTAAGTTTTTGCTCCACACACGTCACCACCCAACTCCAAACCTAGGCTCTTGAGAGCCATTAGCGGCACGCCTACAAACGGGGCTTGTTACAATTACCGTATCTTTTGCTCAGTAAGACTCACTTTTTCCCTCCTAAAAAGTAAGGGGAAATGTGTGTGCGTCTTATGGAGCGAATGCAGACTGCGCAGCTATCCCAGAAGCCAGAACAGCAAGAGGGATTGCTGCTTTCACTGCGCAGCGATCCCTCTTGCTGTTCTGGCTTCTGAGATTCAGAATATTTTTTTCCTTGTTTTCCTCCTCCAAAAACTAGGTGCATCTTGTGGTCTGGTGCGTCTTATATAGCGAAAAATATGGTACCTTTTTTTTTAATTACAGGCCTGAATCGAACATGCTGAACCTCAGGAAGTGGGAAACCCACCAAGGAACACTTCGCTCCCCTGACTGTGCCACCCTTGGTTCTGAAATGCACCGCTGAACTGTGCTTATTGGAAACAAAACATTTCGAAGGTAAGAGAGGGGAGCGCCCTGCAAAGTTTGCTTTGATTTTTTTTACCTTGCCACCTTTCATGCTCCCGGCCGATGATCCCTTCTTCCACGCTGCCCTGCCAGGAACGGTCTTGGTGTCCTTCAAGTTTGCGGCTGTGATCTCCCCAGTCGCGCCCATCTCTGGATGAGGGAGCCGCCCACCCAAAAGAGAGAAGAGTGCCGTTAGCAAGCATGGAAGGAAGCTAGTGATGTTTCCTTGTAAATATGACCTGCCTTGACAGTGTACTTAAGTCACCTCGGGGGGGGGGGGACCTCAAAGAGGAAGTCCAGCTCCCTTATGACGGAACATACCGTATTTTTCTATCTATAGGACACACTTTTTCCCCTCCAAAAATTAAGGGGAAATGTTTGTGCGTCTTATGGAGCGAATGCAGGCTCCTTGGCTTCATCGAAAGCAACACGAAGCCTCCGAAGCGCAGAGGGAGCACTCCGAAGCGCAGAGGGGTGCGCACCGACCCCTCTCGCTCTCCAGACTTCAGGCAGCTATCCACAAGCCTTCGGAGCGCAGCCGGACTTCTCGCTGCACTCCGAAGGCTTGCGGATAGCCGCCTGCAGCCTGAAGCCCTGGAGCGCAACGCCAACTCCCGCTGCGCTCCCGGGGCTTCAGGCAGCTATCCGCAAGCCTTCGGAGCACAGCGGGAGTTCCCGCCGCCTGAAGCCTGGAGAGCGAGAGGGGTTGGTGCACACCGATCCCTCTTGCTCTCCAGGCTTTGCTTCGCTGGAGAGGAGCTGAACAGTTTTCACTCTCTGTGCAGCACCCCTTCAGCGAAGCGGGAGGAGAAATGGAAGGGGCTCTGTTTCTCCTGCCGCTTCACTGAAGGGGCGCTGAGCAGAGAGGGGGAGAATTTATTTTTTCCTGTTCTCCCCCTCCTATGGTCGGGTGCTATGGTCCTATGGTCGGGTGCGTCCTATAGAGCGAAAAATACGGTAATACCTCCACTGGTGATCTAAGGGTGTGGACGGAGGCCAGCCTTAAGATTTAAAATGGTTTAGTGAAATCCAATTTTAAACAGGTGGCAGTTTGCCAAGGTGGCAAAATATGGCCTCCACATTCATAGGCAGTCTACCTCCGAGTAGCAGGTGCTGGGGATAAAACAAAAGGGGAGCCATTGAGCCTTCCTCTAATGACTTGTTGGCTTCCCAGAAGAATCTGCTGCTGGCTAGCAATACCACTCCTGTGCCCTTAGACCCCAGTTCTCTACCATTCAGACACTGCTTGGATTTTTCTGGCTTACCGGGGGCTAGAAAACCAAGGTTGCCTGTTCTGTGCTGCCCAAGCACATGAGAATTCACACACCACCTCCCAGCACACTAGCAGAGTGTTCAAAATTCCCCAGGTGCCAAGCGCATTTTACTACTAGTAGGGGTGTCTAACTGCAGCCCCAACTACACGGAGATTTCTGGGCACCGGGTTGGCAACTGACAGCTGTCAAGCCTGGCTGACTCACACACAGACCTCCATCATCGCATCAAGGAAAATTAAGTGAAGGGCTGCAGCCTTTCCAAGGGCACCCGAAACAGAACTCACAAAGCACTGTTTAGTCCAGTTAATATCATTTCCACTGTGTGTGTTTTTCCTTCTGGGACCAGTGAATTGTTGACACTGAGGTCCAGAGCCGAGGGCCTTCTGGCAGTTCCCTCGCTGCGAGAAGTGAGGTTACAGGGAACCAGGCAGAGGGCCTTCTCGGTAGTGGCGCCTGCCCTGTGGAACGCTCTCCCATCTGATGTCAAGGCAATAAACAACTATTTTACTTTTAAAAGACGGCCCTCTTTAGGAAGTTTTAAATGCCTGACGCTGTATTGTTTTTAATATTCGGTTGGAAGCCGCCCAGTGTGGCTGGGGAAACCCAGCCAGATGGGCAGAGTATTAATAATAAAGTATTATTATTATTATTATTATTGTTATTATTATTAGAGCAAGCAATGCAGTTGAGGCAATAGAATCTCAGAATTGTAGCACTGAAAGAAGGGGGCCCCTGGGACATCCGGTCCAATCCCCTGCCAAATAGACATTCTGTTGTGGTGACTGCAACCTAGGTTTAAGGCGCCACCTGGCACCCGGCTTCTATATCTGAGTTTCTAACATGGCACTGGCGTGCGACAGCTCTGCTTTACGGACACTCACCGGGACGGCGGAGGCAACCCTCGCCCTTTGCTGAGCCTCCTCTCTGACCCGTAACTTCCCCAGCTGTCCCGCGAGTGGCGGTCAGGCCCTCCGTGCCTCTCGTCAGAGTAGTGCTGAAAAGGCAAGCCCACACAGTTGGAGTAAAGCACAAGGCATTAGCATCTGCAAAAAATGGGGGCAGGTGGACAGCTCCAGCCTATAGGCCACCGGTGAACCATCCTTGCCCTAGCCTGGTCACCACAATGGCTCAGAGAGCACACCACCTAACTACAAGGACAGAGATGCACCAGTGGGGTTTTCTTGTATGTATTGGGAAGGCTGCAGTGGATCTTCCTACAGCATACGGGAGCTTTCCCTATTGGCCTTTCAGCTTTAATCCACCTTTCTCTGCCTTGCCCGTGATGGCTCTTCCGCAAACCCGAGATGACGCTTCAGCAATCAAGCAATGAAGAAGGACATGAAAGAGAGTCCGTGGTGCTGAAGCAGCCGGTGAGAATTTTGTGGCTGGGATCCGGATAAAGGGACCCTGGCTTGCCCAAGGTGTGAGCAACAGTCAAGCTGGCTTTGCTTCTCATGTGCAAATTGAGACAAATCATCTGCCACTCTTGTTTGGCCGGCATATTTATAATGTCATGTTCTTACTGCTTTTAATTATTGCTGCTTTTTCATATTGTGGCTGCCAGAGCAATTTTTTTAGCTGGAAAATCAGAGGTAAAAGGTATTTGAAATAAATGTTGTTCTTCAAGAACACATGAAGCCAGAGGTTCGCGCTCTCTCTCTGTTACGAACAGTTCACTCCACTGCCAAGAGAACAGACCATTATTCAGGTGTGGGCTGTTTTTGGTTCTTGTTTAAAAAGGCTTGCCTCTTCAGCAGTGGGAATCGCTGAAGAGACATAAGTAAAATGTTAGTGTCTGTCTCTTATGGATATCAGGCTGATGTTTTGAGTCTGATTTTCCAGATATTTTGGATGTGGTGCAGCCAACAGGAAGCGATCATGCCTGGAAAACATGACTCGAGAACAGTTCTTCTTAATCTGTCCCTACGCAGCAAGACACGCAAAAGCTCTCACGTAGCAGCAGGTGGTCCCTTCGTTTTACTTGTAATCTGTTTCTCTTTCCAAGAATCCAAATGGCCTTTCTTGACCAGGATCCCCAAATCTCTGACAGCCGAGGCTGTCACCAAGAATGTGGAGTTACACTTCACACGAATTCCTAACAGGATTTATTCTCAGACTATGTCAGGATTATCTGCTTTCCAACGATCCCACCCCAGAAACAAATTGACTGAAATGATCCCAACGATGCTCACATGTGTGAGAATTGCACACACCCCTGTTGCATGGAATGAGGCAGTGCCAGAGCAGGAATCATGCAGAGGTGCGACAGTTAGCCCCTTCTGTGGCTACCGTATTTTTCGCTCTATAAGACGCACCAGACCACAAGACGCACCTAGTTTTTGGAGGAGGAAAACAAGAAAAAAAATATTCTGAATCTCAGAAGCCAGAACAGCAAGAGGGATCGCTGCGCAGCGAAAGCAGCGATCCCTCTTGCTGTTCTGGCTTCTGGGATAGCTGTGCAGCCTGCATTCGCTCCATAAGACGCACACACATTTCCCTTTACTTTTTAGGAGGGAAAAAGTGAGTCTTATAGAGCAAAAAATACGGTACGTGTCTCCCGCTTGCTGCAGCCTTTGCCTGAATTAAATTGCTTGTGGCACTGCCTCAGCCTACTACTCACAGCCTGGGAATTCCCAACCCATACCATAAGACCATAAACCACTGTGCAAGCTTTTTGGACATCTAAGCATTTTTTATAACAATACTGCATCGCATGGGCATACCTGTCCATCCCGATCTGGCACAGTTCTTGAACTTTCTCTCCTAGTCGGGAGGGAAGAGAAAATCTGTGTTAACGCACATAGGTGGGTAAGCTTTGGAAACAAGCAGGGGACAGGCTGCAACCCAGTGGTAGAGCCACTGGTTTGCATGCAGTTGCCCTGGTTCGATTCCCAAGGTGGGCCGGGAAACTCTGGAGAGCTGCTGGCAGTCAGCACATACAGTATTGAGATGCATAGACCATGGTCAGACTCAGTCAGGGTCAGTTCCCTATATTCCTAAATTCTGCTGCTGTGCATCTTGTTAAAGGTAAAGGGACCCCTGACCATTAGGTCCAGTCGCGGACAACTCTGGGGTTGCGGCGCTCATCTCGCTTTATTGGCCGAGGGAGCCGGCGTACAGCTTCTGGGTCATGTGGCCAGCATGACTAAGCCACTTCTGGCAAAGCAGAGCAGCGCACGGAAATGCCGTTTACCTTCCCGCCGGAGTGGCACCTATTTATCTACTTGCACTTTGACGTGCTTTCAAACTGCTAGGTTGGCAGGAGTGCATCTCGTTACTTTGGGATTAATCAATAGGAAACTACGATAACCACCAGCATCTTTTCAACTTCTGACAGGTCATGGGCAGGAGAAACCAACTTGGCAGCTCTTAACTGGTCTGCTATCTGCCATGTGCATGGTGACTCAAGGTCGTTCCACGCATTACAAAGCAAGAAACTGAACCGTTTTGGGTTCTGAGGTCAGTATACCAGTACAGCACGCTTGTCTTCAAACGCCAAAACGTCACCTTTGCACTTTATGTTTTGGGGTGAACAGCGAAAACTGTGAAACAGCCCAAACCCAAAGTGGCCTAGGAGCAGAGGAAGCCACCTTTATCTAAGTCAGACACCGGCTCAGTGTCTGCCTGGCTCAGTACTGCTTTCTCTGACTGGCAGCAGCTATCCAGGATTTCAAGCTAGGTTGTCTTTCCCATCACCTGCTGATGCTAGGGATTTGGCCTGGGACTCTAAAAACATTCTAGTTCTGAATGAAGGGTTGGCTTAAATAGGAAGACAGGAAAGGGCCTTAAACAGAGACAGATCTTTGGCCCATCTAGTTCAGCACTGTCTTCCCTGACTGGCACTGGCTCTTCAGGGTTTCAGACAAGGGTCTCTTTCCCACTCCTACATGCAGCTGCCAGGGATGGAACTGGGGAGTTCCTGCTCTGTCAACTAAACTATGCTCACTTCCTTAAAGAGCTGCCTATGAGTGAGGAAGAAGAGCACGAAAAGTTTCCATTCCTCATTTGAACCACAATGAGCCATGCAATTCCCATGGTCAGAGGCAGTAAACGCTTTTGAATACACTGGAAGCCACAGGAGAGGGCACTCTTGCGCCCAGGCCTTGCTTGCAGGCCCCCAGAGGCTTTCCTCCCTGAGACGCGAGAGTACAGGGAACCAGGCAGAGGGCCTTCTCAGTAGTGGCGCCTGCTCCCGCCAGATGTCAAGGAAATAAACCACCATCTGACTTTCAGAAGACGTTTGAAGGCAGCCCTGTTTAGGGAAGTTTTTAACGTTTGATGTTTTATTGTGTTTTCAATAATCTGTTGGGAGCTGCCCAGAGTGGCTGGGGAAACCCAGCCAGATGGGCAAGGTATAAATTATTGTTATTATTATTATTACAGTGGTGCCTCGCAAGACGAAATTAATTCGTTCTGCGAGTTCTTTCGTCTTGCGAATTTTTCGTCTTGCAAAGCACGGTTTCCCAAAGTCTTCAAAATCACCAAAGTCTTCAAAAACCTCAAAAAAGGCTACCACACCGCATGCTATGAGTTGCTCCTTGAAGTCACCCTGGGTATTAACGGCTTTAAGAAAAAGGAAACAAACTTGCAAGACGTTTTCTTTTTTTTGTTTGTTTTTCGTCTTGCGAAGCAAGCCCATAGGGAAATTTGTCTTGCGAAGCAACTCAAAAAACGAAAAACTCTTTCGTCTTGCGAGTTTTTCGTCTTGCGAGGTACCACTGTATTATTATTGCATAGGCATCTCGTCAGCCACTGTGAGAACAGGGAGCTGGTCTGGGAGAGCCACCAGCCTGACCTGGCAGGCCCTGCGTGGCCTTGGGTTTCTGACAATGCAAGACACAGGAGGGAAGACTTCGCTACCTGTCCACCGAGTGGTCCTGGTACCGGCTGCGGTCTCTGTGGTCAAAGCCATGGAAGCGATCTGGTCGACTGAAGTCAGAGTGGTACCCATCATCCAGGGCCACCCGCTTTGCTTCAGGCCAATACGAGTCGTCCCGCCTGCAAAGGAAACAGATTTAGCAACTCCTTGGCTTCGTCACCCCCATCCAGAGAAGCTGGCCTGCCGAAGGTCATTACCCTTCCAGCACCAGGAAGAGACCTTCTGCTTCTCCCATAGTTCTTGAAATGGCAGCTCTGGGTTGTTGTTAAAGCTGCTTTTACTGGCACTCTTTTTTTCATTTGTATTTTCTAAAATTAAACTTTTTTTAAAAAAAAAACTCAGCAATCCTGCAAACCTGAAATTAAAGGGTGGTGTAGAATTTAAGAATAGATTTTAAAAAAAAAATCCATATGAAAAAGAACCATATTAAGAGACGCGAAGAGGCAGAAAACAAGAAAAGTGAATAAAAAAATATTATCATCACACTGTTGCTAATACAACATGTGGATGAATTGCATCCTGCACCTTATCATTCCAAAACTGGATAAAAAAAATACCCTGCTTTTCAAGAAATAATCCATCACAAAGATATCTCTGCTAACATAAATAAGATTTTTTACTTTTTAAAGTAAAAATCCACTAAAATCCAATTCCTGAAGTGCTTTTTAATCTTCTCCTCCTAAAAAAGAGGATGGGTGCATAGGTGTCTGTAAGCAACTGGGCACATCTCCAGCACAAACTGATAATGGTTTTATACTAGCAATGGCTTTCCCAGGACTTTTCTTTCTGCTGCCAATCTCTCCGGGAGGAACGTGGCAGGGGTCAGGTACGATAAAAAATCAGCCTGGCAAAGAGTTCTCTGAGCTGTACTTGGACCAGCCGTGTGGCTTGGCTTCAGTCTTACGTCTTTATTTTTATTTTTCTTAAACATAATTTATATTAAATTTATATTAAATTTTCTGTTTTACAATTTAGAATATTCATTTGGGCATCCTTAAAATATCAATGACTTCCCTTCTTATCTTTTCATGGTTCACTTTGCATAGCATATTTTATATAAACTAAACCATTCAGTATTCCATTGTTACTTCCATTGAACCTTATTTACACTGTTGAATTTATCTTAATGCTGCCCACGTTTTCAAGTGTACACAATTATTCCCCATATATTCAATAAACATTTTCCAATCTTCTTTAAACAAATGTTCTTCTTGTTCTCTTATTCTGTAAGTTAGGTCTGCCAGCTGCGCATATTCCAACTGTTTAAGATGTTTTGTTGGCCAAAAATGGAAAACGGGTGATGTATATTCCGTCAATTCAAGTTGCCATTCTTCTTTGGCTGGGACCTCGCTCGTTTTCCATTTTGGGGCTAACAGAACATGGGCCACAGTTGCTGCATACATACCGTATTTTTTGCTCTATAAGACTCACTTTTTCCCTCCTAAAAAGTGCGTCTTATGGAGCGCATGCAGGCTGCACAGCTATCACAGAAGCTGGAACAGCAAGAAGGATTGCTGTTTTCACTGCGCAGCGATCCCTCTTGCTGTTCTGGCTTCTGAGATTCAGAATTATTTTTTTCTTGTTTTCCTCCTCCCAAAACTAGGTGAGTCTTGTGGTTTGGTGCGTCTTATAGAGCGAAAAATACGGTAGATAACCTTTTTTGACACCTGGGCATTTCTGTCTGAATTATCCCCAACGAAAAGGACTCTGGGTGTTTGCTGGTTTTCCCCCAATACCCTTTTACCGGTCCACCACATTTGAAGGAGCGTTCCCTTAGTCTCATTGCATCTCCAGTACTTACCTGATTCAGTCTTATACATCTTAGCAAGTCTGCTTGGAGTTAAGCCTTACATCTTTATTTATTGGGTCATTGATTTCTATTCTGGCTCCGTACCTGCGGGACTCCCCAACCACAAGCAGCCCCCTCCCTGCTCCCCATATGACCAGGAGGGGACCCCAACCCTCAATCTAAGGGGACGCCTCAAATGATTGACACATTTTGCTGCATTTGGGTAAAAAGTGGGGTATTTGCGATTTGCTGCAGGGAAGCAGCCTTTAGCACAAGCTCTACAGTTCCCCGAGGCGCAGCTCAGCCGCCTCACCTCCCGTCCGTGTCGTACGGCCGCCTCAAAGCCGAGCGGCGCTCCTGCTCGTAGCGCAGCTGCTCATGCTGCCGGCGCAGCTCCTCCCTCTCGCGCTGGATGCGCTCCTGCTCCCGCCTCCTCTCGTGCTCAATGTGCATCCGCTCTCTTTCCAGGCGTTCCCTCTCCATCCGCTCCCTCTCCAGACGCTGCCGCTGGAACTGCAGTCGCTCCCGCTCCCACTGCAGCTTCTGCCTCTCGTCCCGCTCCCGGACGGCCTGGATGTGCTGCTCCCGCTCCCGGCGCTCCCGCTCCCTGTTCGGTATTTAAAATACAGGTTGCGCTCAAGCAGAAACATGAATTGTACGGTCATACCTCCGCGCTGTGGGTTAAACCACAGAGCCTAGGATTTGCCGATCAGAAGGTCAGCGGTTCGAATCCCCGCAACGACGGGGTGACCTCCCGTTGCTCAGTCCCTGCTCCTGCCAACCTAGCAGTTCGAAAGCACATCAAAGTGCAAGTAGATAAATAGGTACCTCTCCAGAGGGAAGGTAAACGGCGTTTCTGTGCGCTACTCTGCTTTGCCAGAAGCGGCTTAGTCATGCTGGCCACATGACCCAGAAGCTGTACGCCAGCTCCCTCGGCCAATAAAGCGAGATGAGCGCCGCAACCCCAGAGTCGGCCACGACTGGACCTAATGGTCAGGGGTCCCTTTACCTTTACCTCCGCTTACGTATCCCTCTGGATACGTAAACTTTGGGATGCGAACGCAGCAAACCCGGAAGTATTTTTCTGGGTGTCGCCGCGCATGCATATGCAGAAGCGCTCTATGCGCCATGCGCATAAGCGCTAAATTGTGCAGCGCTCATGCACAGAAGCGGTCCTCTGGTTGCGAATTCCTCGGGATGCAGCCGGACCTCCTGAACGGATTCTGTTAGCAACCGGAGGTAACGCTGAACACCCAAGAATCACACGCAAAGTTAAAGACCTGGACCTCTACAATGAATAAATCGTATGTTAAAAAAACCAGAATCTTCGATCTCAAGGGAGGCTGCATGGCTTTAGGCAAGCTGCACAGCAGTCTTCACTGAGAATTAATTAAGTTGTTGTTGTTGTTAATTATTTAATTATATACCGCCCTATACCCGGGGGTCTCAGAGTGATTCACAGAATTAAATCAAGATATAAAACCACAAAATGCATAATAAAAATAAAAACAACACCCCAATAGCCTACCCCCCCCACAAAAAAACAACACACGCACATTTTAAAAGGGCATAGGGTGTAAATCAGCTCAACCAAAGGTCAGGTTAAAAAGGAACATTTTTGCCTGGTGCCTAAAGTCTACAATGAAGGCACCAAGTGAACTTCTCTGGGGAGAGCATTCCAGACGGGGAGCCACTGCAGAGAAGGCCAGTTCCCGTGTTGCCACCCTCTAGACCTTAGCTGCATTATATGTTGCAGACCTGCCCGAATGAGACAAGGTATTTAATCTTACCCATATTCTTAGGGTAGCAACCACTACTAGGGACTTCTCTAAATATTTATGCCCAAGTGTTTCCTACAGTTTATAGAACAGCATATAATGTATGGTGTCCTCTCAACAATACTGCATAGGCCCAAAGCCGCCCCCCCCAGCTTTTTTAAGGTTAAAAAGTGCCTGTATAGGGTAAACCCCCAGGGATCCTTGCAGAGGCGGACCAGTTTCCCCAGCAAGAGGATCAGTAAGGGCAGTATGCCAGGCTGCTACTGAACTCTGCATCCCCAGCCCCAGCAGCATGAAGTAACCTGAGTGTGCTGGCTGTATCCTAGGGCAGGGAGGCTGCATAAATCGCTAGGTTGTTTGCAGTAGATTAGGAAGGGTTTTTGACTGCCAATAGTTTAAGCCACACTTCCTCAAACACGGCCCTCCAGATGTTTTTGGCCTACAACTCCCGTGATCCCTAGCTAGCAGGACCAGTGGTCAGGGGTGATGGGAATTGTAGTCTCTGGAGGGCCAAGTTTGAGGAAGCCTGGTTAAGCAATAGAAAGTCCCTCGCACGTGCAAAGCATGAGTACTGATTGGCTACCCCGGGCAGATCTTTGAACAGTTCTGTCGGCTAGTGATGAAAGCTTAGCCTTAAAATGCTCATCCTGTGGAGCTGTGCTTTCCACTCCATCCCAGCACATAGGTCATGGGGTGCACTGAGTAATACAGATATCTCGCTTTAAAGCCAACATTTTGCAACTGGCTACACAAACACACACAGAGCTACTATTCTGTTCCTGGGCTAGGGGGTGTCGCAAAAGAATTAAGTAGGTTCTGAAACAGTCCCATTCCTGTTTCAAGGCACTGTTCCAGCGGCTGAGTGGGAAGACTCAAAAGGTTTGGCTGCCCCCCCCCCGTACCGGTTGAGCTGGTTGCCCACCAAAAAAGGCTACTGGCACACTGGAGATTTGCGGCAGACGCTTCGGCATATGAGCTGCTGCAGTGAGGATTCCTTGAATGTGGAAATCAGGAAAAGTCCTTGCTCCTGAAGAAGCAAAAGGGGAAACCCAGGATCCTCCACACCTCTAGAAACTCTGGCAGAAAACTTGCAAGACTGACTGAGAAAAAATAAAATGGAGGGAGCAGGGAAAGGAAGTGACAGAGACCTATAGAGAAGTGAATATATGAGCTCTGGGGTGGGGCGGGAGAGGAGAAATGTAATAATTACGTGTCAGAAAAGACAAAAAGGTACTCGGGCAACGTTTAATCAGCGGAACGAGAAAGGAAGAAAGAGTTTCACCAGCCAGCCTATGAGCACCCGTCTAAGAGGAAAAATGTGTCAGGCTCTTACATAATAAAGAGCCCTTTAAAATATCCACTTGGAACAATGGGAGCGGCAGGGGGGAAATATGCAGGAGGCTTCACTTGGAAGCTGAACAATCCCCATTAAACTGAAGCAGATAGCACAGATGCCGAGGCAAGTGACAACTGCATAATAGATAATGTCAACGGAGCACAAAGTCATCACTGGATAATGATCTCTGGCTGCTGCGCCAAGGCAGAAATATTTCAAAGCCGGGGGGGGGGGGTGCGGAGAGAGAAAGAGAGAGAGAAAACGAATCCTCTGGGGTGCTCGTGCCATGCATGGAAACAAGGGTGGAACAAATGAGAGTTAGCCCGTATTGGAGTTCCACTCCATTAGTATAGAAAGCCTATCAGTTCCTTTCTTCCTCCAGCCGCAGACTTGAACCAAGAATCAGCACAGAGCTATCAAGCGATAGCTGCCTTTAGCACTGCCTTTTTTAAAAAAGGACAACAGCACCTTCTCAGCACCGGCAACCAAGTGAGCAGCCCTTAACCTGCACAGGAGATCCAGAAGCAGTTTGGGGGCTCCCTCCAGTGGTTCTGCTGAAAGTCACCCTGTGGTAAACACTTGCCCCAGAGTTTTACTCCTAATAGGAGAGGGGGAGTTTTAAGTGGCAAAGTAAGTCCACACATAAACATCCTCTCTCTCTCTCTTTGCCACTGCCTAACCACAAAGCCCTGACAGCTAGGGTGGCCCCTGTGAACTGCTCTCAGGAATGCAACCGAACAAGTTCAACCCAGGGAAATGAACGAACTTAAGTTAGTTATGTCCATTACATATCACTGGGACTGCTCTAAGTGGGGTTAACGGAATAGATTACTTCAATGAGTTATATGCAGGGCTGCCTCTGAAGGTTTGAAAACTTTGGCTAGTGCAGAATTCACTGGCCAAGTCGCTCACCGGACACCGATCCTGGTCCGACTGCACTGGCTACCAGTTAATTTCTGGGCCCAATTCAAAGTGTTGGTTTTGACCTATAAAGCCTTAAACTGCTCAGGACTGCAATACCTCAAGGACCACCTCTTTCCATATGAACCTACCCAGACCATGAGATCTTCTGAGGTTCTTTTGTTTACCTCCTCCTTGAGAGGTCCGGAAGGTGGCAACACGAGAACAGGGCCTGCTCTGCAGTGGCTCCCCGTCTGTGGAATGCTCTCCTCAGGGAAGTTCGCTTGTTCATTATACACCTTTAGGCGCCAGGCAAACGTTCCTTTTTAACCAGGCCTTTGGTTGATCTGAGTGACATCCTATGCCCTTCTAAAATGTGGCTCTTTGGGTGGGGGATGTTATTGGGCTATTGTCTTTTATTTTGATTTTATATATTGAACCACACTGAGACCTGCAGGTAGAGGGCGGTATATAAATTCAATAAATAATTCATCATCATCATTATTATTATACCCTATGAAAGGTATGTCACCATTCCAAGGCTCACCACCCAGAAGACTTTGCTGGTGGACAGCATATAAATAAAATGTCTGGAGATGCAAGCGCACCTGCGCTTAAAACAGATGATGACAAGAGGTCCCTGTTTTAAGGCTGAAGATGGTTGGAAATGCCTGCTGGTGTTTATCTCAGAAGCAGGGACACCCTTTTCAGGCTGAAAGCTACATTCCCTCTTGGGCAAGCTTCTGGGTGGCCACAGGCTGGTGTTGTGGGTGTGGCCTGGGTGCCAGAAGTGGGTGTGGCAACAGCTAGGACTCTGTGCAGTAGGATACATTCCACCCACCCACAAAACCCAGAGGTTTTCCCGCCACCAGCACCTCAACACCTCTCCATCCCGGCAAGAAAGAGGAATCACAATTTGAGGACACATTTCAGTCAGGTAAAAGCACTCAGGGGCGGCGCAGGGTGCAGCCAATGAAAAGAGAAGGGGGGTGAACTGAAGAAAGGAGGGAGGGTCGCCTTAGGTCCACGGGTCAGAAATTGTGTCGATGCCAATCACCTGTCATTCTGCGGAGGGCAGAATTCCGCAGGTGAGGCGAGGGGGATCCCAACCTACCTCCGCCGCTCGGTCTCTCGGATTTCTCTCTCCCGTTGCCTCTGCCGCTCTCGTTCGCGCTGCTCTTTGATTTTGTCAAAAGACAGAATGTCCTGCTTCTCTTTGCTCTCTGACTTGCGGTCGTGGCTTTTTGTGCTCTGGAGTCGAGAAGTGGGGTGTGGGGGGGTGAAAGGCAAGGATTAGAAAGATTGACACAAAAGAACGGGGAGATGTCCATTTTCCTGCCGAGAGGACAAGGAGAGAGATTACCACCACCACCCCAATCGTCTTTGCCTCCCAACACAGCGCTGGTGTAATCTTGTTAGGAAGGGGCACTTCTGGACAGATCACATCTGAGAACGTAAGCCCAGCCCTACTGGATAGCACACCAGAGAAGTCCATCTAGCCTTGTGAAAAACAGGGGTGCTCAAGTAAGTTGAGGAGCTTTAGAACACAGGCCAGGAACTGTTTGTTAGGTCAAGGACCACATTCCCTTGGGGCAACGTGCCAGGGCTGTACACTGGCAGGAGGGCAGCAACACAGCCAAAAGTGGGAAGACACTTTCCTCTTTCTGGCACCCGTGTGAAATTGGGCTGAGGGCCATAGGGTGCACACACTCCTGCTTTAGAAGCAGAACGATGCCTCCTGGAACTTTTAAATCTCTGGGTTCTCCTCTCGCTGCCCACACAGGCTCAGTTGAAACCTTTCCAACTCCCGTGACACTATTCCATTACACAAAGGGCGACAGGACTTCTCTGCACATCCAGGGACTGCTGGGTGTGACGATTTATTAGAACTACAAAAGAGAAGGGTGTGGCCTCCCTCCCCTGGCCTTCCTTTCTTTGCACCGTCTAGTTTTAAGACACCAAACCAATGGCTTACTCTCTCTTTTGATGTGGTTGTGGTTTTCACACTAATCACCGGCTCTCCTTTGGACTTGTCCATGACCACCGTCCGCTCTGTTCCTCGGCTTTCTGCAAGGCAACAATGGGTTTAGGCACTTCAGATCTCTGGAACGAGTGCAAAAATCAGACTAGTCATCACTCTTTATTGGCAGGCAACTCCCCATTTACAAAGGAGTTGTGTTCTAAGGCAGCGTGAACGTCAGGACATGCGTAAGCCAGCCCTGCCCCGTTCCACCCCCTTCTGGTACTGAAAACGGCGCACGTCAAGAGTCGCGAATGTAACAATCATGCAGAAATGCGGAGTACTGACCACATTGGCTGGGACTGATGGGAGCTGGCAAGGAAGGAACACAGGAAGCTGCCTTATACTGTGTCAGACTATTGAGTCATCTAGCTCAATACTGCCTATACTGACTGCCAGCAGCTCTCCGGGGTTTCAAGCAGGGGGAGGGGGGAGTGTCTTTCAAAGCCTTACTTATCAGGGATCTGAAGCTGAGAAGTTCTTTAAACAAAGTAGATGCTCTGCCACTCAGCTGTAGCCCTTCCCCTAGCACATATTTCCCAACCTTGGGCCTCCAGCTGTTTTTGGACTACAACTCCCATAATCCTCAGCTAGCAAGACCAGTGGTCAGGGATGATGGGAATTGTAGTTCGAAAACAGCTGGAGGCCCAAGGTTGGGAAACACTGCCCTAGCACATAGGCAAACTAAGGCCCGGGGGCCGGATCCAGCCCAATCAACTTCTAAATCCAGGCTGTGGACGGTCCGGGAATCAGCATGTTTTTACATGAGTAGAATGTGTGCTATTATTTAAAATGCATCTCTGGGTTATTTGTGGGGCATAGCAATTCGTTCATTATTTTTTTCAAAATCTAGGCCCCCCACAAGGTCTGAGGGACAGTGGACCGGCCCCCTGCTGAAAAAGTTTGCTGAACCCTGACACAGAGGGCCACTGGTCCCTATCCCTTGCTTTAACTATTTGACACTTAACAAGACAGAAGTCCACCGATGCTACTGTTTGCCGAAGAATGGGGCTGGGGGGGATGGAGAGAGAACAATTCAAACAAGGTAAAATTAGAGGCTAAGAGATGCCTTCTTGTTCGTATCCTTGATAGATCAGACAGGTTTATTTGTGTCTAGTGAGGAAGCCATCACAAAAGCAAATTGAACAAAGGGAACGACATATCCATATGTAACAGGATACATCACAGAGGCTGGAGACAAAAGGAATTGCTCCAAATAGGTCAAAATGTACTTCCAAGGTACCCCTCTGAGACGCACAAATGAACACAAGCCTAGCATTTTCCAAAGCAAAGGTGCATTTCCCCCTCTGAATGAAAACCGAAGGCATGTTTCAATGCTGTTCTTGAAAAGTTTGCCTTCATCAAATGAGTCTATGCTCTGTATATTTATCTGAGTCACTGTTCTGTCCAGAGTAACCCATCGTGTGGAGGAACGAAAGGCAGCCTGCTCCGGAGGCAGGTCGTTCTGCTGCACCAGGAGCAACTGAATGACCCCATCACACCAAGTGCAGTCACATGGGTTATCAGCACCCACTACCCCAACTTAGGCCAAATGGAAGCAGGCAAGATCAGAGTTGCAGATCATGCAGAGAAGCAGCAGGCAGCCTCATCTGGGGTTGTTTTGGGCTTGAGGGAGCTTTTCAGTTCTTTAATTTATTCCTCACTGTGCACAGCAATTTGGGAATGACTGGTTTTAAGCAAGCCTCTTCCGAGAGCATTCGTTCAGCTGCCAGGATTGAGCCTCCTACAAGAGCTTCCCCTTGACGAAAAAGGTTCAGACTGGTTAGTGAGAGCTTCTCTGCCTACACAATCTCACCCACGCCTTTCCTAAGGGTAGCGTGATATTATTCAGAGGCCTTCTATATCGGATACAAATGTCCAACCCACTCACCCACCCCTCACATGCATGAATCAAGCTCTCAGCAGGGCCATAAATCACACTAAAAAAAGCCACCCACCCCCCACAGCTTTTGTTACCTGATTTAATCGATCGCGAACGGTCAGAGGATCCCTTTTTTTGCTCCTCCGTTTCGACCCCCTCTTTCCCGTCTCCCACCTCTTTCTCTTCTGACTTTTTGGGGTCATCCTTTTTCTCCAATTTTTCTTCTTTCTTAAGGCTAGGAGACCTACAAGTAGATTATAGCAAAACACACAAAAAAAAACCTTAAAATACACACACACCTTTGCCGTAAACCTATGGGATTCTAAAGGTGCAGCTAAGATGTCCTTGCAGATCAGACCATCCCATCCATGTTAACAAATAAAGTGGTCAGCAAAAGTCTTTTAAGAGAAAAAAAAAGAATTGAGCACCTTTAAAATAAAATTTAAAACGCTTCCTATATTTGCTGGTTTTATTGTATTTTCTGTTTCCTTTTTCATTTTATTTATAAGCAGACCTAGAAACTGATTCTGAAGGGCAGCAGGGAATTTCCTTCATAAGAAGTCAAAGCTACAGAAGCCAGTTTGCGGATTCTAGCGCAATGAGATTCCCATTCTTGACCATTGACTGCACACATCCAGAACCCTGGGCTGGAAAAGGAGGAGCTAACGTGCTTCTCTGTGTGCACAAAGCACAGCTGCATCGACCAAGAGCCCTGACCTCTTTTCCTTCAACTCCCAGAACAGCTCCACTGCCCCCAAAACTGGAGGGCAGCAGAGAGAGAACACACACACAGACTGTCCACATTTCTGGCTTAAGAGTGGCAGTAACCTTCATTCTCTCGGTGCTAAGAGCTGAGCCTGGCCCAATGCTTCCAGCAGTAGCAGCCAGATCTTGGCTTGTTCAAGTAAGTTTGCAGTCCAGAGGTGAAGAACCTCTGGACCGCAAACCAATCATGGCAATTTCCCCAAAGCCACGCCCGCCCACCCAGTGACATCACTGGTGACATCACTGGATGGGCAGGAAGACCCTGTTTAATTCTTCATTGGCTGCTTGCCCGAGTCTCAGTAAGGAACAGGATCGTGCAGCCTAGGCAGCAGGATTTGATCGCTGCTCATCACCTAATGAAGCCTTGTGCACAAGCACGCTTGGAAGCAGTCACGTCTCCATGGCTATTAATTTCATGGGGTTCTACTCTGAACATGACTGAAATCCCAGTGTCCAAAACAGGCTGCAGAATGCCAAATTGCTTTCCCCGGTGGAAGGGCTGAGCCAGCAGCAGTCCTTTGCAAGGAGGTAAAGGTACCCCTGACGATTAGGTCCAGTTGTGGCCGCCTCTGGGGTTGTGCGGCTCTATAGGCCGAGGGAGCCGGCGTTTATCCGCAGACAGCTTCCGGGTCATGTGGCCAGCATGACTACGCCGCTTCTGGCGAAACCAGAGCAGCGCACGGAAACGCCGTTTACCTTCCTGTCAGAGTGGTACCTATTTATCTACTTGCACTTTGACGTGCTTTCGAACTGCTAGGTGGGCAGGAGCTGGGACCGAGCAACGGGAGCTCACCCCATCCTGGGGATTCAAACCGCCGACCTTCCGATCAGCAAGTCCTAGGATCTGTAGTTTAACCCACAGCGCCACTCGCATCCCTTATTTGCAAGGAGGTAGGAAATAACATAATGCAGAACAATGTGAGAACAGAAGGACAGCCTGCCAGATCAGGCCACTGGCCCATCTAGTCCAGTATCGTATTCTCACAGTGGCCAAACTAAATGCCTGTGGGAAGTGTGCTAGCTAGACCCAAACAAAAGAACACTCTCCCCTCCTGTGGTTTCCAGCAACTGGCATTCGGAAGCATTCCTGCCTCCATTTGCTCTGCTCACTCATGCTTTGTCACGAAACGGCTTCAAAGCCCGACACACAGGGGATTATTAAAACTCCCGCTTTACTTTTCCGATTTGGAGTCCGTTGAGTGACGCCTGTCCTTCTCCTTCTTGGCTTCTGTTTCTTTCTTGTCTGATGATGCTTTTTTCCCGGCAGGTTCATTTTTGGCCTGGAATGATATTGAGGAAATTGCTTAGGGCTGGGGCATGCGTGTACACGAGTCAGTAGGATCACACAATAAGATGCTGTTCCTGGGATGAACCACTTGCAAAATAGGGGTGGAAGAAATTTTCAAATGCTTGTCCCCACCCCACCCCACGTGGTACACGTGGTTCCCGCTTTCTGAACACAATGCGTTCCCAGAAAATCGTTCATAAGGCAAGCATTCGCATAATGTGCTGATGATTTCCATTATTCTCTATGGGAACATTTCTATGATTTGCTCAATTTCTTTCCCCTCCCCCCATGGTTCCTTCCTGAAATGGCTGCAAGCAAACCAAAAAGAGAGAAACAAAGGAAAAATGATTTGCCTGATCTCTCTTGCTCCCTGATTTGTCCCATCTCCATCTCTCCCTAAATGATTTCTGGCCCAAAATATCTGCCAGTGACCAACAAAACACAAACAAGTCAGGAAGTGGGCAAACCCTGGCTGTTCGGATATCTGAATTGTGAGGTTTGGGCATAATTCTTTACGTTCAGATAACTGAATTTGTGAATAACAAGCATTCTCACCATGACACCTGTGTGTACATTTCATGGTAAAGTTTACCACGAAGGAGTGGGCTGTTTTCGGTCACATTTCTCGTGGGTAGCAAAAAGAACTCACTTTTTCAACAGAAATCATTTTCCCATGCAGTTCTGTCCGATGCAGATGGTTGATGCATTTAGTCGCTTCCTCGGATGAAGACATGGTGACAAAGCCGTAACAGCGAGCGCCGGGACTGCGGGCATTGGTCACCACTTTTGCACCCACCACCTGCCAGGGAGACAGGGAGCAAAGGAGCATGGGCACCTCTGGCACAGCAATGCCGGAGGAAGCAAAATTACCAAGAAGGGGGGAGGGGGAATCCGTTCCAGGAGTCCATTCAACTCCCGAAACGGTTTGAAAACCAAGGCGCGGCTTCCGATTGGCTGCAGGAGCTTCCCGTACTCAATCGGAAGCCGCAGAAGCCGCGCCGGACGTTCGGCTTCCGAAAAACGTTCACAAACCCGGAACACTCACTTTCAGGTTTGCAGTGTTCGGGAGCTGACTTATTCGGGAGCTAAGCCGTTTGAGTACCAAGGTACAGTGGTACCTCAGGTTACATACGCTTCAGGTTACATATGCTTCAGGTTACAGACTCCGCTAACCCAGAAATAGTGCTTCAGGTTAAGAACTTTGCTTCAGGTTGAGAATAGAAATCGTGCAGCGGGGGCGCAGCAGCAGCAGGAGGCCCCATTAGCTAAAGTGGTCTTCAGGTTAAGAACAGTTTCAGGTTAAGTACGGACCTCTGGAACGAATTAAGTACTTAACCCGAGGTACCACTGTACAGTTACGAACTTAATTCGTTCAGGAGGTCCGCTCCTAACCTAAAATTGTTCTTAATCTTTAGCTAATGGGGCCTCCCGCTGCTGCCAGCGCACGATTTCTGTTCTCATCCTGAGGTAAAGTTCTTAACCCGAGGTACTACTTCTGGTTAGTGGAGTTTGAAACCCAAAGTGTTTGTAACCCAAGGTGTTTGTAACTCAAGTTACCACTGCACTGCAATAGTAGAAGCAAGTTTCTGCCAGCTGCCAGCAACTGGATTAATGCCTCCTAAACGTACCATAAGGCTGGGGCCTCGAATAAACCATAATTTCAAGCACCTGGAGTTTCCCAATCTTCCCCCCTCCTTTTTTGCCTGTCAACAGTGCTCCCTGTTTAGGGGGTTAGTTCCTAAATGTCTCATACAGTGGAACCTCAGTTTTCAAACGTAATCCATTCCAGAAGACCATTCGACTTCCGAAACCTTCAAAAACCGAAGATCAAAGGGCGGCCAGCAAAATCCATTGATAAAATATTTCTGTATTGATAAAATATTTCAGCACCAAATATTTCTGGCAAAATGTTTCATGATTAAGTCAGACATCATTATGAGACAAATTACAATTTTCTTCACATTTACATTTGAATGGAAGAGTGCAGGTGTGCTGGAGGGGGGTAATGCAAGTCTCGCCCCACCCCTTTGCAGGAAATCAATGTAATGTAGCCAATGTGATCATCAATATAATTGATGCATGAATAATACACTGATAGACATGTGCTGTTTTGGTTTCTTGGAAGAAGGAGCTAACTTCACTGACGCCAGTGTTTGTTTACCGCTGACATACACTTGACAGATTGATCATTTGCAGATGCAAGGTGAATGAAAACCCGTTACAAAGTGAATAGGTGTTTTCAGCTTAGAATGGTTTCTTCAAAACCAGTTGCAGCTTCCAGCCTGAAGGAAGCCCAGCCTGTTTATGTTCCAGAGCTATTTATTTGGGTTGGTTTTTAGTGATATGGGTTAAATCCAAGAAGGGTAGGGGCAGTGGAAGGGAGGGAAGACGAAAGACGCTCACCCTGGCATGTATAAAAGGACAACTTGAATAAAAGACTGACAAGCTCAATAGTTTCAGCCTTGTTTGTTTCTGGAAAATGCTTACCTTTCCATATTTGCTAAATAGGTTCTTCAGATCTGTAGCTCTGGTGGAAGAGGAAAGACCACTAACCCACAGATTTCTGCCAGAACTACCACCAGCCCGACCTAAGTTGGAAGGGGGGAGAGGAGAGAAATGGTAAATATCTACATCCAAAAAGAAAGGAAGACAGCATCGCAGAAGCAGACAGACTTGGAAGTTTTCTTTGGTTCTGGCCCACCTGAGAGCTCATGAGGGATTCTGATCTAACTTCAACAATACTATATCAAGATGTGCTTGAACTATGACTTCCATCGGCGCCAATATATGGCCATGCAGCCGATGGGAGTTGTAGTCCAAAACCAAATTTTTCAAACCTATGTGGTGTTTTAATGCGTTTCTCTCCACAGGGGCTGAAAATGTTAAAAAGTGCTTGTTTGGGCAGAAGCAACTATAGCTAAGAATGTTGGACGAGCATCACCTGAAGACTTATGGAGTAGACAAGAAGGGCTAGAAAGACGAAGAGCATAATGAAGCATCACAGGAATGACTAAGGACAATGCCAAAGATACAGTGGTACCTCACAAGATGAATGCCTCGCAAGACAAAAAACTCGCTAGACGAAAGGGTTTTTTGTTTTTTGAGCTGCTTCGCAAGACGATTTTCCCTATGGGCTTGCTTCGCAAGACGAAAACGTCTTGCAAGTTTGTTTCCTTTTTCTTAACACCGTTAATACAGCTGTGACTTGACTTCGAGGAGCAACTCATAGCACGCGGTGTGGTAGCCTTTTTCGAGGTTTTTGAAGACTTTGGTGATTTTTGAAGCTTTTCCAAAACTTTCCCGACACTGTGCTTCGCAAGACGAAAAAAATCGCAAGACAACAAAACTCGCGGAACGAATTAATTTCGTCTTGCGAGGCACCACTGTACCTTATTTCGTTTGGTTGGGGGGGGGAAGAATGCCATTGTTTTTCGTCAAGTTCACTTTTTGAGGTCACTTTTCTCAAAATCTTTTTTTTTCCCTTGGGGGCCCAAATCAAGCTCACAGCAGGGCCTTAAATCACACTGCTGGTTTAGGCACATTTGACATACACCCCCCCCCTTAATTTCAGCGTATCATGTCATACTCGCAGAAGACCCACGGAAATGGCTAGCTTTCAGTGTGTCTATTCCATGTATAGCTTAGTGATACTACCCACTACGTGCAAAGAGGATTGGAGAACTTTGTAGGCATTTATATTTTAGAAACAATCTTCTCCTTTTTTACTGTCTATGTGTGAGCTTTATACGGAAGTGAGCTTTATATAGCAGGGGAATGTCCCATTATCTTCCACCCATTTGGTAGAAGCGCCGATTCAAGTTAGAAATTACATTCAAGACCATTTAATATTAACCAAATTACTCTTTCAGAGAAACTTAGTGTCCCACTTGGTCACACCTGGAAGTAGACCTGCTGAAATTAATGGAAATTCATTTAGATCCGTTAATGTCAACGGGTCGATTCAGAGCTTAGTTGGATTCTGGTCGCTACCTACAAGTAGGATTTGAGGATAACTATGAAGGACGACAGCAAAGAATCGTTGTTACAGCTTACCTTTCTCATCCTTTGAAACACTTTTAGCCTCTGCATCCTTATTAGAGCTAAAGACAGGGGGGGAAACAAAGAACTTTACTCAACAAGAATGAGGCCATGAGAAAAAGAGCACACAAGGCTGTGTCTGCTATGATCAGATACCTACCAGAAAAATAATGTGAAAGGAATTAAGCCTTTTTAAGGGGTATCTTTAAGAACTCAACAAGGAGGGTCAGAGGTGATGAAACAGCGCTACCACTTAGAGTGGACAAAGGTCAACTTGCAAAACTGAGAAATAAAATAAATGCTTAATGAGAAATGGGCTGGGGAGGGGGAGAACATAGCGAACCACGTTCTACAAAAAAGGTGCGCAAGGACAACTAAAAAAAAAAAAAAGGAAAAGATTTTTATTTGGAACAAGCTATCATCAGGTTAAGGCCCTTGCAACAGGGCCCCTTTGGAGGAATTCACAGCGCATTTGCATTCATAAACGACCAACGGGGAAGAAAAAAAGAGAGCATCTGGTCTAAAACGGAGAAAAAACAAACCTCGTGTTCTGATCACCACCCTCTTGGGCAGAGGACTCTTCCTCACAATTAGCCTTGGCTTCCATCTTCTCGGCATCTTGGCTAACCACCTGGAAACCTGCGTCCTTCTCCGCAGTTTCCTCACTACTGGCTTCCAGAGTTTGGGCTGCTTTGCTACTCTCACCACTTCCTTCTCCTCCTCCTCCTCCTCCTCCACCACACCTGCTCTCTACCGCTAAAGAGTCAGAGTCCAGGTTAGCTTCCTCTACTGTCTCTTCGCTCGGCTCCCCTTTCGCTACCACTAAGTGCTTCGCTTCATCCTCCTCGCTCTTGGCCGCAGCCTGGCCTGACTGGCTGTCCGTATCTAAAAGCTCTTCGTCCGACTGAGCGACGGCAGTGGCAAGTGCGTCTTCCTCTTCCTGGGCTTCCTGTTTGACCGGCAACGAGATATTCTCTTCCTGTGCCTGCTCTGCTTCAGGAGCTTCTTCTTTAAGGGGCTCAGATTTACAAGTGTCACCCAAAATGTCGAGCATTTTCTCATTTTCTATGGATTTAACAGGAATAGAATGGCACAAGGTTTAATCACCAGGGAAACACAGCAAAGACAAATGCGGAATGGGCATGGCTGCCAGACTTAACACTGAGAGAACGGCTAAGGCTACACAGAGATTGGAAAACCCCTTGGGTATACCACATTCAAATGCCTAACACTAACTTCAGTCTTACATGGCTATCAAGGCAAAGCCTGAAAAGAGAGAAGGAAGAAAAACCTTTATGTGCGGCGTTCCCAGCTTGCTCCTCATTTGTCTTCACGCGGTTGTGCTGCTTTCCGTTTTTCCACATTTTTTTTTCTCCCCAGAAATGAGCTTTGAAAGTCCATGATGCTTATACAGACTGCACGGATTCTCTTTCAGACAGTTCAACTCCCGGATTTTATTTATTTATTCTACTGAAATTCTTTCAAGGAGACCAGTCCGTACGTGAACACCAAGAACAGCTTCGGGTGGGAATGAGAAGACATTCATAGTCCAGAAAAGCAAGTGATGGGAATTTCCATGACCGACCCATCTTCCGTCTTTCCAAGAATCCACTTTGCAATTTGGGTCCCTGCCTTTGCTGACTCTAGTCAAAGTTACAGAACCAAGGCACTGGGTAATATCACAAGATCTGCTCTGTACACAGTAATTGCTCATTAAGCTCAGTGTACTCCCCAATTAAGGGATTTAAAAGCAAACCGCTGTCTTGAAAGACTGGTCTTGGGCCATATTAATAATAGGATGCTGTTGCAGATCTGGTGATATGACCAGATTTCCAATCTCTGTGGCTTTTTCTCCCTTTTTTTTGGTGTGTGTGTGTGTGATCTGGACTTTGCGCCAGTTACGAATAAGTGAACCACAGATACTAGTGGAATAAAACCTAAAAAGAGTAACTAAAGGGATTTGTGTGCAAAATCTATGTGGAAGGTTAAGGGCCAGGGAGAGCAAGGTGTTTTGTTTTGTTTTTAAGTATCAGTACCTGATTCCAAGGGAAATTCTTCGAGCTCCTATTAAAATAATAAACAGGGGAAGGGTGGAAACAAGCAAAAGTTACAATACTCCATCGTACGGCAAGATGAAAAGTCAACGCGACGCAAAATCTGCCGCAACAGCGTAACACCTTCCCCAGCGATGACTCGGTGGCTAGCATGAACCATTTGTATGCTTTGTCCCATCTCTGGGTTGTCTGAAACTATGTAGAGTCATTTAAATTAATGTAACCCAAGTTAGTCCTGCCCATCAGCTTCAAGGAGCCTACTCTGAGTCAGGCAAGCTTCGGGTACAGCCCACAATCTCAACGCCACAATGATGGCTGAGCAGCAAAGGCGAAAGAGCTACCGCAATTGTTTTTAACCCAATGAACCACGGTTCTTTAGCTGAATGAATCCCACCCTACCTATTTGCTGCCACCAGAATATATGGCTCTTTCTTTCTACATATCTATTCTCTGTCTATTCTACATCTATCTATCTAGACACACAGAGAGAGGAAAGAAAAAAGTTACCTTCACATCTGTAAAATCAGAGGGCACCAGATCGAGGGTGTTTCTGGCCTCTTCGCCTTCCACCTATAAGCAGTGAAGAACAGCGTCAAACTTCCTGAAACACCACAGTTTCTTCACTGAAAACCAAGAATGAATCGGAAACAGGGAGACCCCCTCCAACTGCCCTTTAGTTGCCACCTCATCCCCCCTAACCAGCTGGTAGTTAAATAATATTTTCTACCTCTTTAAGAACAATGGTAAACGAAACTGGGGGAATTTAAAAAAACGACAACGATGAAAAATGACAGCAAATTCTTTGAGAGTGATGTTGCTGCAATGGTTAATGGTTTTAATGGGGTTAATGGGGAAGGGCCACAGCTGAGCAGTAGAGCGTTCCAGGTTCAATCCCAGGCAACTCCAAGTCGAGCAAGGAAACTCTAGGGAGCAGCTGCCAGTCAGTGCAGGCAATTCTGAGCTAGATGGGTCAAAGGACTGACTCAATATGAGGCAGCTTCCTCAGTTCCCATATTCCAGGGCACATCATGCCTTCAGATTCCTCCCTCTGACCTCCTCTCTAAGTCACCTGTTATATACACAGTAAGAGGATGTTGCTTAGCACGGAAGCAAACCACTGGTCTCTCCACCCACAAAAAAAAACTAAACTAAACGGTGCTGCATTAAAGAAACAGGACCTAAATGTACCCCCAGTAGGTTTTGTCTAAACCACTAGCAGTGCTACCCCAAACTGCAAGGGACATGAGACAATGCTATTCTACCCAGGGTAAGGCTGGTGAGGGAAGAGAAACTCAGCTTGGCCTCCAGGTGGTCATGCTGGACTCTGAAGTACAAGAATAAGCCCTAATAAGCCTTTAAGTTTTAAAACCAGTGCTCCAGAGTGTGGGCAGGTGCACACGTTTTGCCACAACTGAACTGTGGATCACATATACTAAGGCCTGGCCTCAGCATTTCATGCACACACATACACCCTAAAGTAACGATTCCCCAGCACGTTTACTTTGCACAGGTAAGCACTTGCAGAGGTAACATTCAAGCCCGCGTCTCCCAAATCCAAGCACTCCGTGAACTAAGCTAGCTCTTGCCCTTCCCCAAGACCTCAGGGAAGTTAAGATGCTTCACAAATGAAATCATCCCTGGCACCCCAATTCTAAACACCTGGCTTTGGAATCCGCTCACAAATTCCTTTTGAAGTTGGCGGGCCTAGCGTTAGATCCAGTGTTCGAAACTCTCATTGTTCTAGGCGCATTTTGCGATAGGGAATTTCATTAGCATGAGCAGTTTCTGAGCTCTGGGTGCAGTACTGTGCATAAGATTTCAGATTAAAACTGCAGAGTAGAAGGATAGGAGGACCTTTTTCTGCCTCCCCACTTCCAGCTACTCTCTGAAGACTGGAGAAGAGATCCTCTTAAGAATATCATGGGGGGTGGGCAGGGGAAGGACTAGACCATGTGAAAAATGAATGGAATATTTTAGCTGCAGTTCATTCATTTTCAGCTTTGTATTCTTGTTATTAAAAAGTGTGCCTAGACATTCCGTTGTTGCGCCCATGTGCCATTTAGCTCCTAGCTTCCATATCTCAGTTTCTAACAATGGTTAAATCCCAAGCTAGCTTGAATCTGCACAAAATGACACGTTGAGCTTCTGGGGTTGCATCCAATTAAGTCCAGGAAAGAGGAGACCCACTTAAACGAACAAGATTTAAGCTGGCCATGTGCGTTCATTTCACCAGATCTACTCTGGAGTAGAACAAACATAGGATACAACCCCTGATTACTTTTGTTAACTACAAGTATAGAGGAGCTAAGCTGGCTATCAATTCTCGATAGATTCAAGTGTCCTGATTCTAAGGACAACAAACGGCTTGCTCAGAACCGTTCTGCTTCAAGCAAAACTTGAGCTGGGCTGCATTCGGCAAAGGCCTCCAGACACACAGGAAGATGAGCAAATGGAAATGCATGTGAAAAGAAAAAGAAAGAAAAAAATTTAACCATTTTTTTTAAAAAAAATAAAAACTATTTCTGGAATCTTTCTACTGCAACGTTTATGATGCATGCATTTAAAGCTTATAGGTTTTAGTAAAAAAAAATGCAACGGCTTTGGACAAACACAAGGGGGGCAAGAATCAAATGGGATATTTTTTTTAAAAAAACCCCAAATTATTTCCACTTTAAGAAAATTAATGGAAGTTGTGGCGGTTATTCAGACGGCATGTATTTTTTAAAAGAGATGCATACCATGGCTACTGGTATTTCTCTTGATTCTTCTTTAATGTCTGACATATGTGGAAGTGCCTCCATGTTACCTACAGGACATCCTGAAAGCTGCTCTGGAAGTTCTCTCCTTTCTGCACCAGCATTTTCTTTACTATCAGACTCAGAGGAGGAGCCAAGTCTACTATCAGCACAGTCATCTACACCACTGCCGTTATCTATTTCAGCTTCATCTAACAAATTTATATCCATCATGTCAATATCCTGCAAGTTATCCAAACTTGCTTCAATATCCTCCTGTGAAAAGAGAAAAAGGCCGTATATATAATTGCCGTCAGGACTCCAAGGCAGAACTGTTACTGTGCAGCTGCAAAGCTAGTTGTACCTGCCCATCTCCAGAGTCATCCTCAAGCCCGTTGTCTTCAACTCCCTCTTCCTCTGGTCTACGCCCTAGTAAGATAAGGGTTATTAAAACGCATGCATGCATACATACAGACAGACAGACAGAATAATCTTTATTCAGGGCCCATTCTGCGATGCAAATGAAAAATGTAAATAGAACCAGGTTAAACTAAGGCCTAGTGCTCACTAACAACTCTGGATCTAACCAGAAAGCCAGGGAAGTAATGATTAAAGAATGCTGGACTAGGTTAAAGGTAAAGGTAAATGCTGGACTTGGGACCTTGGAGACCAGGGGTCAAATTCCCGATCAGCAACGAAGCAAACAGGTTGGCCTTCAGCCAATCACTCACTCTCAGCCAGGTTTGTTTTGATGATAAAAATGGAGTAAAGTATGTATGCCACCAAGGGACGCGGGTGGCGCTGTGGGTTAAACCACAGAGCCTAGGACTTGCCGATCAGAAGGTCGGCGGTTCGAATCCCTGTGACAGGTGAGCTCCTGTTGCTCGGTCCCTGCTCCTGCCAACCTAGCAGTTCGAAAGCACATCAAAGTGCAAGTAGATAAATAGGTACCGCTCTGGCGGGAAGGTAAACGGTGTTTCCATGCACTGCTCTGGTTCGCCAGAAGCGGCTTAATCATGCTGGCCACATGACCCGGAAGCTGTCTGCGGACAAACACCGGCTCCCTCAGCCAATAAAGTGAGATGAGCGCCGCAACCCCAGAGTCGGTCACAATTGGACCTAACGGTCAGGGGTCCCTTTACCTTTACCTTTATGTATGCCACCTCAAGCTCCTTGGAGGAAAAGTGGAGTATAAATTTCACAAATAAATAAGGCCCACAATGTTGTCAAGATGGGTCAATGCAATATCTACCCCAATACCCTTTGCCATTTTTCACTACAACCCTAACATCCATTTGGAGATCCGTTGCTAAATGCTTTGCCGTATGTACGGGAAAGTGTGCTACTGCTGCCACCCAACCTAGATCAGGCCGCAACACAGCAGCGGGTCCTGACTCACTAGTTGGTGATGAACAGTCTGCTCCAAATCAGCAGCCTTTTAGGCTAAAGGGCGATATCTAAATGGCATAAATGAGTAATAATTAAATAAATGCATTGCACCAATAGGAAAAGGAAAAACCCACCAGAAAAATCAATGTATCTGCAAAAATCGGGGGGGGGGGGGGTTTTGTTTTGTTTTTAGTTTCCGCTTTGTTAAATATGCCGTTTGGCATTTTTATTTGTTTTGGTGTAAGTTGCCTAGAAGATTAGGCAGGTCATAAACTGAATACATACAGCAAATGAAGCAGTAAACATATTTCAATGCTGCTTCAGACTAAAGGCGAAGGGGAGCGTAACTGAGTGCTTGATATAGGAATTCTTGAGCACAACTCTGTGATTTGTCCAGACACTCTGTCTTAAGCAAATGCTCTTTCTCAGCATTTTGGGGGAGTCACAGCTACAGGCAAGTTAACCCTACACATGCAAGCAGAACTCCTCCCCTATTCCCCGGCATACCTTTGCTGTTCCTCTTGGGCGTCTTCTTTGTGGTTATTTCTGTCACTACTGGAATCTCTTCAGGGTCTCCCCCCTCCTCCTCAACAGCCTGTTAAAAGAACATAGGGTTAAGCATTTACTTTACAACTCACTCTTCAGGACAAGCCCATGGCCCTTCTGAGGACAAAATAACTGCACTGCAAGATTTTGAAGCAGGAATGATCAGATCTCTGGCGGGCTAGGGACAAAGGTGGAAGCTGTTTTCTAGTTCTGCGGGATCTCTCAGCGGCCTTTGATACCATCGACCATGACATTCTTCTGGACCGTCTAAAGGAAGGAGTTGGGGACACTGTTATACAGTGGTTCCACTCCTTCCTCCTGGGCCATGTTCAGAAAGTAGTGTTGGGGGATGAGGGTCCTGTCCTCTCCCCCATGCTTTTCAACATCTATATGAAGCCGGTGGGAGAGATCATCAGGGGGTTCAGGCTGTCCATTCATCAGTATGCGGATGATACCCAGCTCTACCTCTTTTTCAAATCAGGGCCAGTGAAGGTCCTGTGTGAGTGCCTGGAGGCGGTTGGAGGATGAATGGTGGCTAACAGATTGAGGCTAAATCCTGACAAGCCAGAAGTACTGTTTTGGGGGGACAGGGGGGACAAGTGTGGGAGACTCTCTGGTTCTGAATGGGGTAACTGTGCCCCTGAAAGACCAGGTGCGCAGCCTGGGAGTCATTTTGGACTCACTGCTGTCCATGGAGGTGCAGGTAAGTTCTGTGTCCAGGGCAGCTGTCTACCAGCTCCATCTGGTACGCTGGCTGAGACCCTACCTGCCTGCAGACTTTCTCGCCAGAGTGGTGCATGCTCTAGTTATCTCCTGCTTGGATTACTGCAATGCGCTCTGCATGGGGCTACCTTTGAAGGTGACCCAAAAAACTGCAACTAATCCAGAATGCAGCAGCAAGACTGATGACTGGGAGTGGCCATTGAGTCCATATAACACCGGTCCCAAAAGACTACATTGGCTCCCAGTACGTTTCCAAGCACAATTCAAAGTGCTGACCTTTAAAGCCCTAAATGGCCTCGGCCCAGTATACCCAAAGGAGAGTCTCCACCCCCATCGTTCAGCCCGGTCCAGCTGAGGTCCAGCTCCAAAGGCCTTCTGGCGGTTCCCTCCCTGAGAAAAGTGAGGTTACAGGAAACCAGCAGAGGGCCTTTTCAGTAGTGGCGCCCGCCCTGTGGAACGCCCTCCTGTCAGATGTCAAGAAAATAAACAACTATCCAACTTTTAGAAGACATCTGATGGCAGCCCTGTTTAGGGAAGTATTTAATATTTGAAGTTTTATTCTGTTTTTAGTCCTCTGTCAGGAGCCACCCAGAGTGGCTGGGAAAACTGAGCAAGGTAGGTGGGGTATAAATAATAAAATTACTATTGTTATTATCATTATTATTATTAGCTGTCACAAATTACTGCTGTTCTGTTAACTGTCACTTATCAGAATGTACTTTTGCATTATACACACACACAAATGTACAGAAAAAATGCACTAAGCTCTGCATACTATACTTTCTGCATTTCATTGCCTGTTGACTCCTGTTTTTATCACTTTCCCTTCTATGTATGCGTATGTATAATTATACACAAATATGTACATATATATACATTGCTACAACACACACTATTAAATATAACATTTCATGAGCTTCAGTGAAACCATGCAGGGAGGGCTTTGTCTTTTTTTACGATATGTTCGCATCACAATACTGCTGCCATTATGAGCCATCTTAAGCTCAAACTGCGGCCCGTAACTATGTCCTGTTTCAAAACCAACACAGACCACAAAAGCTGTAGAAATAAAGCTTGAAACATTTCCACATCATGGGTTTGGGACGATGGGCAGAGCTGGCAGGTGCAATCAGTGATATTGTGAGAGCACAGCCCACAGTTCTTACAATGATAAGCCAAAATGGGGAAAAAGGCCCTGCTTTTATGTTGCCACCACATAGGATTTTTCTGGGCCTCAATTGTGAATTTGTGAACTTCTTTTCTGGTCTCTGTTTTAACTAGACCAAAGTGCATGTAACTAGAATCATGTGCCCCTCCCCAACGCACTCTCCTTTAGATTCTAGCTTTAGATTCGTAGACTGAAGAGTTGGAAAGGGCCCCAAAGGCAACACCCCTGTGCAACACCTTTGGAAGGCAGGAAACATAGCTCAAGAACCCCTGACAAAAACCTCCAAGGAGGGGGAGCCCACCATCTTCCAAGGTCCCCTTGTCCCACTGTCAAACTGCTCTTATTGCCAAAATGTTCCTTCTAAACATTTAGTTTAGTTAAGGTAATTTTGATCCGATTCAGAATTTTCACTTTTTGTACGCTTGTGTAAGCATGGCTGTGAAAAAAATTCCGGGTTTTTTTATGCTTCTATCTCTTTGCAAGCAGCTTTGAAGTCGCCGTTTTGTTTGTTTGAGACCAGGCGGTGTTTGAGATTTTATTAAATCAATAGAGAACCTCCTTTCTTTTCGTTTGAACCCATCCGGTCCAGCTCCTTCCATTTTGGAGGAGGAACAACAGCAGTAGTAGCAGCAGCAGCAGCAGCAGCAGGATAGTAATCATAACAATTATAAAGCTTGCTAATGTTTCACAACTTTTTATGTGCTGTAAGCCACCCAGAGTGGCTGGGGAAACCCAGCCAGATGGCCCGGGTATAAACAATAAAATTACTATAATTATTATATGTTGTTGTCGTCGTCATCTTCCACGTGACAGCGCTTCGGATACCAGTAGACTGTAGCCTCTTCGGGGCAGAGGTGCCAACACTCGACTTGGTCAAAGGCCTGGAAACGATGCCTTATGAGGAACGGCTAAGAGAGCTGGGCATGTTTAGCCTGGAGAAGAGGAGGTTAAGGGGTGATATGATAGCCATGTTCAAATATATAAAAGGATGTCACATAGAGGAGGGAGAAAGGTTGTTTTCTGCTGCTCCAGAGAAGCAGACACGGAGCAATGGATCCAAACTACAAGAAAGAAGATTCCACCTAAACATTAGGAAGAACTTCCTGACAGTAAGAGCTGTTCGACAGTGGAATTTGCTGCCAAGGAGTGTGGTGGAGTCTCCTTCTTTGGAGGTCTTTAAGCAGAGGCTTGACAACCATATGTCAGGAGTGCTCTGATGGTGTTTCCTGCTTGGCAGGGGGTTGGACTCGATGGCCCTTGTGGTCTCTTCCAACTCTAGGATTCTATGATTCTATGACTTTTTACAGGCAACCAGAGATCGATACCTAAGCGGACTCGGAATACCGCGCTCCCAAAGGGCGTCTACCTGCTCGGAGTCTACAGATCCACAGGAGGGAGGGGGAGGGGAGGGCTAAGGCCACCGGAGGCGCACGCGCAGTATGCATTTAACCTCTTGCACGCCGGCGCGTTTTTAATCTCCCCCCCCCCCGACGCTTGTTCACCTTTCTGAGCCGCTCGAGGAGGACGCTCTTGATGCCGCTGCTGTCCAAGCTGCGCCGCTTCAGCTCGGCCCGCAGGTCGATCACCCGCAGGTCGCTCAGGCGACGCGTCGCCCCGAAGGAAACATCCGACTCGCTGCCGCCGCTGAGGGGAACCGCCGCTTCGCCGGCCAGGTTCTCCGCCGCCATCGGAAGGAACTTGCCTCCTCGGCTCTTTTTTTTAAAAAAAAAAACCAAACAAAAACTGCTTTTCTTTAGAAAGAAATATTTAAAATACAGCAATAAAATAAAAATAAAAATTAAAGTGGCAGTTTGCGCGGCGCGCGCCTCCTCTCGCTACGCACAAAATGGCGGCCGCAGCTCTACGCGCAGGCGCAGAGCAGGCGGCGCCCGCTGCGACGCATGCTCAGAGTGCACGATCCGCTCTGGCGCATGCGCCATTGGTTGAGCGAGCCCAGGCGGGAAGGAAACTTTGCTGCTTTGCGCGCATGCGTAATAGGGAAAGTGGCGGGGGGGGGTGATTTAAGGGACAAGAATTATCAGAGGCGTTTTGTCCTGGAAAAGCCCCGTGGGTGGGCAAATCACTTTTCTCTCAGGCTCAGTTCAACAAAAGCAACCACAACCAAATATGTCGTAATAATAATAATAATAATAATAATAATAATAATAATAATTTATTTATACCCCGCCCATCTGGCTGGGTTTCCCCAGCCACTCTGGGCGGCTTCCAAAAAAATATAAAAATACTGCAATACATCAAACATTAAAAGCTTCCCTAAACAGGGCTGCCTTCAGATGTCTTCTAAAAGTCTGGTAGTTGTTGTTCTCTTTGACATCTGGTGGGAGGGCGTTCCACTGGGAGGGCGCCACCACCGAGAAGGCCCTCTGCCTGGTTCCCTGTAACTTGGCTTCTCGCAGCGAGGGAACCGCCAGAAGGCCCTCGGCGCTGGACCTCAGTGTCCGGGTAGAACGATGGGGGTGGAGACGCTCCTTCAGATATACTGGACCGAGGCCATTGAGGGCTTTAAAGCTCAGCACCAACACTTTGAATTGTGCTCGGAAATGTACTGGGAGCCAATATAGGTCTTTCAAGACCGATGTTTTTTTTTTTTTTTTAAAGCAATTTATTGGATTTTACAATAGAAATAAATGTAATAAACAATATAACATTCGTCTTAACATAATTTCACATTTTCTTTGGACTTCCTCACATCTCCCGCTCCCACCTTCATCATTATAACATTTTGTCAGCAATTTATCATCTTATTTAAATTCTTATATCTCTTCGATATTTCATGATCTTATAGTTCTCATAAAGAGTTAAACTTTCACAATTTTTCTTATTTTCTTAAAAACTTCTAAGTTAAGTGGTGCTCAGTTATTTAGACAAGCATCTTATTCAGCATTCAATCAAATCACAATGTTTTTGCAGGTAGTTCTTAAATTTCTTCCAATCCTCCTCGATTCTCTCTTCTCCCAGGTCACGGATTCTGCCAGTCATTTCAGCCAGTTGCATATAGTCTATCAGTTGCATCTGCCATTCTTCCAGTGTGGGTAGATCTTGAGTTTTCCAATGTTTTGCGAGTAGTATCCTTGCTGCTGTTGTTGCATACATAAAAATGTTTGGTCCTTCTTTGCCACCCCTTGGCTGACAATACCCAAAAGGAAAGCCTCTGGTTTCTTAGTGAAAGTATATTTAAATACCTTTTTCAGTTCATTATAAATCATTTCCCAGAACGCCTTCACTTTAGGGCAGGTCCACCAGAGGTGAAAGAACGTTCCTTCACACTCTTTACATTTCCAACACTTGTTATCAGACAGGTGGTAAATTTTTGCGAGTTTGACTGGGGTCATATACCATCTATAAATCATTTTCATTACATTTTCTTTCAAAGCATTGCATGCAGTGAATTTCAGTCCGTTACTCCACAGCCTTTCCCAGTCCTCAAACATAATATTATACCCAATATCCTGTGCCCACCTTATCATAGCCGATTTAACCATTTCATCTTGTGTATTCCATTCCAACAGCAAGTTATACATCCTTGAAAGTATCTTAGTCTTTGGTTCTAACAATTCTGTTTCTAATTTCGATTTCTCCACCTGGAACCCTAGTTTCTTATCATTTTTAAAAACTTCCTTAATCTGAGCATAATGTAACCAATCTCGCACTTTGTCTTTCATTTTCTCCAAACTCTGCAATTTCCAATTGTCTCCATCTTTTTCTAGTATTTCCCAATATTTTGGCCATTTGGCCTCCATATTGGGTCTTTTTCGGGCCTTGGCTTCCAAAGGTGAAAGCCACCTTGGTGTTTTATTTTCCAGCAAGTCTTTATATTTTGTCCAGACATTAAACAGTGATTTTCTAACAATATGGTTCTTAAAGGCCTTATTTGCTTTAACTTTGTCATACCATAAATATGCATGCCATCCAAAAACATTGTTAAACCCTTCCAAATCTAACACATCAGTGTCTTCAAGAAGTAGCCAATCTTTTAGCCAGCAGAACGCTGCGGCTCGTAATACAACTTTAAGTCCGGCAGGGCAAAGCCCCTCTTTGTTTTGCATCAGTTAGTATCTTAAACTTAATTCTGGGCTTTTGCCCTGCCAGACAAACTTCGAAATGTCTCTCTGCCACTTCTGAAAGCACTCCATTTTGTCCAAAACCTGAAGTGTTTGAAATAAAAACAACATTCTTGGCAATACATTCATCTTAATCGCAGCAATTCGGCCTAACAAAGAAAGTTTCAATTTTGACCAACTGTCTAAGTCTCTCTTAATTTCTGTCCAACATTTTTCATAGTTATCCTTAAATAGACTTAGATTTTTGCTGTTATGTTTACCCCTAGGTATTTTACTTTTTAACCACATTAAGTTCCGTCTCATTCTGAAACCGTTCTGACTCTGTCTCAGTCAAATTTTTTCCCAAAACCTTGGTTTTCTGTTTATTTAATTTAAATCCCGCCACCCGACCAAAGTCATTAATCAATTGTAATACTCTTTTCGTACTAGGCTCTGGCTTCTGCAAGGTCAAAACCAGGTCATCTGCAAAAGCTTTTAGTTTATATTGTTTCTGGCCAACCTGAATTCCTTCCACCAACTGGTCCCCTCTAATCATGTTCAATAGCACTTCCAGAACCGAAATAAATAACAAAGGGGAGATAGGGCAGCCTTGTCGTGTCCCTTTTTCAATTTTGAACTCTTCTGTAACCACATTATTAACTATCAGTTTAGCTTTCTGTTCTGAATATATCGCCTCAATCCCATTCTCAAAACCCCGTCCCACTCCCATCTCTTTTAAGTTTCCCATCATAAATTTCCAAGAAATATTATCAAAGGCCTTCTCCGCATCTATAAAAATTAAAACTGCTTTTGTATTTATGTCAGTTTGGAGAAGTTCCAAGATGTCAATAATGTTCCTTGTGTTAGCAAACAGATGTCTACCTGGGAGAAAACCGGCCTGGTCCTTATGAATTACTTCATTTAAGACTTTTTTAAATCTACTTGCCAAAATATCTGCAAATATTTTGTAATCCACATTTAAAAGGGAGATGGGACGGTAGTTCTTCAGTTGTGTCTTTTCAGCTTCTGACTTTGGTATCAATGTGATAAAGGCTTCCTTCCACGAATCCGGTGCCCTCTTCCCCTCCATAATTTCATTGCTAACCTCCATCAAGGGTTGTATCAAATAGTCTTTTAGTGTCTTATAATACTTGGAGGTCAGCCCGTCTGGCCCTGGAGATTTGCCAAGTTGCATGTTCTGAATAGCTTGTTCAATCTCCTGTCGTGTTATTTTAGAGTTCAGGGTTGTCCTATTTTCTTGTGACAGTTTAGATAATCCATTTTTGGCAAAAAATGTTTAATCTCGACTTCGTCTTGCGGCCCTTGGGTATATAGTTTTTAAAATATCTCTGGAAACACTTTCTAATGTCCACTGGATTCTGAATGTTTCTTCCATCAACCTCTAAATTTGTAACCGTATTTAATCTTTGTCTTCTCTTCAACTGCCAAGATAGCAGTTTTCCACATTTATTCGCCGACTCAAACGTTTTTGTTTCATTAATTTAATCTTCCATTCAATTTCCTGATTTATCAATTTAGAATATTGTGTTTGATATAGTTTAATTTCTCTCAGAGTTGGCTGTGACTTTGGATTTACTCTTAATTTCTTCTCTAATTCTTTTATTTTATCCAAGATCTTGTCTTTTTCTCATTTTGTGTTTTTTCCTTACTACATTCTGTTGTATCAAGAATCCCCTCATGACAGCTTTGCTTGCGTCCCAGACGATTCTTTTTTCCACCGAATTATTCATGTTTATCTCAAAATAGTCTTTCAAAACTTTTTGGGCCTTCTTGGTAATTTCCTGATCTCTAAACAAATTGTCATTCATCTTCCATCTAAAGGATCCAGTTGGTAGTAGTGTCATATCCATCTTTACTGCGTTGTGGTCAGAGCAGGTCTTTGGGCAGATTTCCACTTTTCTAACCCTAGGTGCCAGGCCCCTAGAAATCCATATTTGGTCGATTCTTGTCCAGGTCAGTTGGGCTTCAGAAAAGAATGTTCCTTCTCTACCTAGTGGGTTCTTTGTTCTCCAAATGTCAATCAAGTCCATATTGTCAGTCATTTCAAAAAAGGTTTTAGGTAGTCTGCCATCTTTTGTGACATTTTGACTTTGCGACTTGTCCATGTTAGTTGACACGACCCCGTTCATATCTCCCTTTCAAGACCGATGTTATATGGTCTCGGCGGCTGCTTCCAGTCACCAGTCTGGCTGCCGCATTCTGGATTAGTTGTAGTTTCCGGGTCACCTTCAAAGGTAGCCCCACACAGAGCGCATTGCAGTAGTCCAAGCGGGAGATAACCAGAGCATGCACCACTCTGGGATTATAATGTTAATAGCACATGTCAATCTCCTGAAAGGGCGTTTCCCCTGCACATAAAACAGTAGTTTATTTTTCACATTACAAGACTTGTGCAAGGAAAACTGCATTCGTAATATGGCTTGCCTATCGCAAAAAATGGGGAATTATATGCAGCCCTTAGGATCTATGTGGCCCTCAGCGCTCTTCCCCAGGCCAAATCCCTCACTGGCCCTGGTTGGCTTATTTACTAAATTTGTATACCACTCTTCAGCAAATGGCGGTTCACAGCATAAAAATACAAAATGAAAAAGCAAAATAAAGAAAGTGCCTTCTCTTCAGTGTTGGGTTTTTGTTTTTTGCTTAGCTGCAATCATTATCCTTATTTTATTTATTAAATGTACATACCACTCTTCAAAAGATTACAGGGCGCTTCGCTGCAAAATTTAAAAAGCTCTTAAACTCGGAAAATCTTCTTGCTTGCCTGGATGGAGGATAGGGAGGGAGGGTGTGGAAACTAGCCTATTGTAGGAAGGTTAAATTAACACCTGTTGCTCCGCCTACTGTGGCTTCCAGCCCCACCCAGCATG